TTCAAGGATGTTAGCCTACTGTAAATATAGCAAACAACTTGGGTTGGGTTTATAAGTCTAGTAGAAGTAGCAGTTTGTGTTATATGCCACTTTGAAGACACCACAGAATTTAAGCAGAATATCACTGAGTATTGAAAAGAGGTAAATATTCAATTTAAGTAGGATTAAGTACAATAAAAAAGTCTTCTTTAGATAAATAATTTCCTATCCTATAAGGAGGGCAGCGATACCAGTGAGGAATAAGCTCCCTCTTAAAAGCTCTGGTTCTGAAGTGTAGCCTCAAGTTGCTTTGGCCTTGATTTATTTTTTTTTATTATTATTATTATTTTTATTTTGTTGTGTGGTTTGTGTCTTCTATGGTAGAACACCCATTAGTTGCAATAGCAGCTATGCTACACAGCAAACATGTATGGAATTCTGTAGAACCTCTGGACTATAAAATAAAGTGAAGAAACAGGGCTATTAAATTAGCCGGAGAGGAGATTTCCATTGAGAACATTATTTCTGCTTTCGCTTTTAAAATAACCTCGATTACTGGAGTAGGAGTATATGTCCATAGGTAAAGCTGTAGCATGCAGAGGACAGGAAAAATAAGAAAGCAATGGAGAGAAGGCAGGAGAAGAGATAGATAAGAATATATAACAGCAGCAAAGGACAGGTGAGTGATTTTTCCATTTCAATTTTTATCCCTTTTTTCCTTTATTTTGACTTTCATGCTTTTCTTGTTTATCAATTGTCACAAAATTCATAGTAGCAAATTAAAAAAAAAACAAAAACAAACTAGGCTTTTAGTATATTGTGTGTAAGATTAGTCTAGAGCCACAGGAATTGTCTTGAGTTACCAATATTGAGCTTGCATTGATTCTTTCCTTTGTTTCCCTTTTTTTAACCTTTTCTGGTAAAACACATAATGGAAAGAAACTTTCAGTTTTTAGTTTCACTCAGGTAATTAATAATATAGCTGATTTTAAAAACTTTCCTGGAAGCCAGTTAATTGTGACTGATTCTTAATAACCTTCATAGGAGGAAAAAATACAGGAGGAAACTTAATCTGGTATGTTCTCATAGTGGACTTATGCGGTAGAGTTGGGGTGAAATATATATATGTATATACAGTGGGTAGTGCTTTTTAAGAACAGGATTGACAGCAAAATCAACTGAAATGGATTTAAAGTATAGTACTTCCTATAGGTAGAGCTGCTAGTGCCACCTGTACTTAAGGTTGCGCGACCCTTTCCGTTTTAAGGCTTAACTCTTAGTTACTTTACAACTTTTGCCAAAATTCAGTTCAGACAGATTTTTCCATGCCAGATGTCTGCCTTGGGTTGAATTTTTTTGAAAGCTTCAGCCAAAGCAGTTCTGTTCCAAGAATAAGGCGAGTGAAAAGTATGCTATTTTGCTTGTGTGAGAATATTCTGGTGTCCTTCTTTGATGCTCCAGTGCCCCCAAGCTCTGAAGCAAGGATTTGAAATTTGGCAATAGTTCAGCCTTTGTGTTGAGGATGTGCCTTTTGCCTCCCTGTAAAAATCCACCCAAATTTCCAGACCGGTTTACAAGGCTTTGAAAGATTGCCATTTGCTTGGGCTTAATAGGAATTTCTTAAAACTTCACAGTAAGTTTCCTTTAGATTCTGTTCACACTGGGAATGCTTCAGGCAGAGTAGAGCTGCATATTTCATCCCACTTCTGCTAGGAATTGTAACGGCTGGAGCTGGGTGCTGACATCGAACTAAGAGTGGGCAGTGTTTTGTCTTATACCACCACCGCCTATTCCCATGTCCTGTTCCTTCTCCCTGGTGAAGGACCTGGGCCCTCTGCAAACAGAAACTGTCTCATTCATCTGAAAGAGCATGACAGATGTGGAAGAGAAGAATTTAAGAGCGTGTGTGTGTGTCTGGTTTGTACCATTCCTTTGGTCAGGGAAAATGCGTGTATCATACTGGCAAAACATTACTTTCTTTTCTAGTGGATGTTCAGATAATCGTTAGGGTTTGTTGTATTTAAACTTAAGTAGTTGAGTGGGTCCCAAGGTTTTATTCCTTTTACTGAACTATGTAAGCATCAATTTAAAAAAAAAAAAAAGTTAGAAAAAGTCACAATACAGTAATGTTATTTAGAGTGCAAAAATCGAGAGCTCACTTTTCTCAAACATTTAAGTCTAACTCAGACCTCTTGCACTTAATACGTTGTAGTATGGCCTCCAACTTCACCGCAAGCGTCACATGTTTTGTCCAAGAGGCAACTATTTGATTGGAATGGGGGAAAGGGCTCTATTCTGAGGATGAGTCCAGAATTTGTACAGTAAAGGATGTGTCTTCGTCTGTTACAGAAGTTGAAACGTGGAGTAAGCAAAGCAGAGATTTCAGGAATAAAAAAAGTCTTTGTGGCTGAGGCAATTGAATGCTGCTTGATGAATTGTGTGCAATCTGTGCTTAGTCATGGTGTTTTTACATGATGCACTCAAATAACTGTTCCTAGGTGGCTGCTCATACTGTGTGTTCTGGTGGCTGGTTTGAGAACTCTTACCAATTCACAGAAATGCAGACACTTATAACTGCAAGTGAACTCAGTGGGAGCTAAACCTCATGTAAAATACTGTATATTACTAAAGACAGTAAAAATCAGGTTCAAAGTATGTGAAATTTGACATCTGGAACAAGGGAATATTTTAATCTAATTAACCTAATGCCTCAGTCGCCTGTTTTACAGATGTAGAAATTACTTGTCCCATCTCTGTAGAATGGCTTGTGAAGTTTTGCATTTGTAGCAGGACTGGAAAATTAATATGCTATAAATGAAGCATATGACCACCTCCTGTTGATCAGGGGTGGATCAAAGCATTGATAAATATGTAATCAGAAGTTTACATATGTAATAACATACTGGTATCTTATTAGATTAGTAAAATCACCTTTGCAACTCTTAACTTTCCAATGCTTACCTTTATAACCCTAATAATTCTCTTAAAATAAAATACGTGGTTTTCTCTGAATTTAACAAGCATCCAACTTCCTTTTGTACAAATAGTCCAATTTTGCTAATCCCTTGGTAGCTCTTTTGGTTCTGGAGATGGAGCCATGATTTCACTCTTAGCAATTTCGTTCCCAATAAAGCATGCAAACCTGAACTATATTGGGTCTGTCTGAAACCAATGATGTCAACCTATAGAAAGCAGTACTTTTTTTTAACGTATTAACTAATCAATTTCATACTGATCCAAGCATAAAACTCCCAATATCATACCTCTGGAACTTAAATTTTCCACTTTGAATTAGGAGTCAAAATTTGTAAACTGAGAATAATATTAAAATGCAAGTTTAATTAGCAATAACCTTTTAATTCTCTTATAAATCATAGCCACTTTACTTTAGTAGTAGTTGAATAAAGTATTACTGGGATTGTCATCCATACTGTTTACTGTGGAGATGGAAAGCATACTTGCTCAAACTGTTGACTACTACCTCACTATGATAAATTTCCCCTGTGTAATGCTGCTTCAACAGTACATCATTTTTATCGCTTTGTAAAGCCAACTGTTACCTGGTGTTTCCTATGCAAAAAAAAGATTTTGTATGTTCTTTGAAAGGGACAGGGTTACAACAAATAAGTGAATGTGTGCTTGAGCAAGTGTCTACCTCCTGGAGTGAAAAGGGTTGCTGCTAAGGTTTAGTGAATTTAATGCTTTGGAAATTATTTGTTGGAGAGCCTGCAGTAGTGGAGAGTTTTGGGTTGTGGGATTTTTTTTTTTTTTTTTTTTTAAGGTGGAGGTGAGAGAGGTTTTTTGTCTCTGTAAACTTCAAGTAGTCATCAGACTTTTTTTACTTGTTTCTTGGGTCATTTCCTCAGGGTGTTTGCTGCCTCTTGAAACAGTAGATTTCAGATGGGTGTTTTGAAAACTTCAGCAAAGGCAAGGCATTTGACAGGATGTTTGTCATGCAGTATTTTCAGGAGAAAGACGGGAATTTTGAGCTGCTCAAAGCGTAGATATTCCTTAGAGGAACTCTGCTGCTAAGAACAGCAGTCTTATTTGCTTAGCTGTGTGAAATCCACTTGCTTGTGGACAACTGTTTTGGGTTTTTTGTTTTGTTTTGTGTGTACCCCCCCAAGACTTCCGCTTACTTGTGTGCTCTTCCATATGTGTTTTGCACTGTGCTTTGAAGTTGGGCAACTAGCTTTAAACAAAAGCTGTTACCACACTTCTGCATAGCATCTGGCTTGATTTCAGCATGCTGATGTGTCAGTGATGTGGTTTACAATTAATTAAATGCAATTCTTTGCTTGCTTTGACATTGCTTTCTGTAGGATTAAAATTTAAAAAAGAAAAAAATAATCACACTACACTTGGTTTGTTGTATAAAAGCCAAGTCAAAACGGTCCTTAGAATGTGGTTAAATGGGTGTTCAGCTATTTTTAACTGTGCAGGCGTCTGCCTTGACACATAGGTGAAATGAAGACCGTGAGTTATCCTGTATTTTTTCCTCTGTCACCTTTTTCTTTCTCCTCCCCTGTCCCCCTAATAATCTAAGGAATTTCTGAAAACCCAGACTTTGTGTGGATTTAGTTTCCTATGTAAGTCATTCTAGCATATTTTAGTTCCAAGTGCCTAGATAAAACAATTTAACTTTAAGATGCGTATTTTCTTTCATCTTTGACCAATGTGCTTCAGTAGCAGGATCCAAATAGTACTGCTTTGACTTTCTTGAATTTATACCCAAGTTTGTATTTTTTTAATATTTATTTTTATTTTAAGGTTAAGGCACAGAATGAAGGATAGATTCCGAAAGCCAAAAGCAAACGCAACTGTAGTCAACCGAATTAATTTGTATCCAATTACAGCAGCAGTAAATTAGCTACGAGTATTCAACTGTACTATTTCAAATTCATTTGAAAAAGTAACTAAAATCTGACCTGCAAGACTCTGCTCTGTTAAACAGGTTTAGTATGTGATCACTTATGTTAACTGTTTCTGAATGTTTTGCTTTTTTGTCTTGTTTTTGGCAGCAACTTGAATTAGTGGAACCAAGCGGCTGGATTCATGTTCCCTTAACAGATACTCATAAGAAGCCTATTCGCACATTTATGATTCAGATTGCTGTTCTAGCTAATCACCAAAATGGAAGAGACACTCACATGAGACAAATCAAAGTGTACACCCCGGTGGAAGAGAGCTCTATTGGTAAATTTCCTAGATGTACAACAATTGATTTCATGATGTATCGCTCCATAAGATAAAATTTCTTAATGAGAAGGAATAAAGGCATTTTTTGATGGCAGTATTGTTGCTTAAGTATTCAAATGCTTAAAGAGCAGGGTTTACTTCAGTCTTTATGTTTATACTTTGTATGATTTTGAAATAAAGATAATCTCGTGCTACAGTATATTGTAGTCTGTATTTTTTTTTTACTTTTGCTTGCAGTTTTTGAGTGCTCGTGTAATATCTGAGGAAAAAAACTGGGCACTTTAAAAAAACATATTTGTGACCAGGAATCAATAATTGATTTGACATAATACAGGTAGGTTTTTTAGATGATCTCTTCCCCTAATGATCATGCATGGAAATAGCCTGTTCTATAGTGTTACTGTTTATTCCTTTATCTAAAAGCTGCTCTTTTTAAAGAGCATTCTTCTTGAACAGACACAGTTTAAAGATACGACCAGTAGTATTTTTCCATCATTGCTTATGTTAATGCATTCTCCTCATTTCTGTATAGTTTTTTTCTGCTTAATGACTGTCTGCATGGATTTAGCCTTCTTTGTAACTGCGAAGTAGATCATAGAATCATAGAATATCTCAAGTTGGAAGGGACCTATAAGGATCATTGAGGTAGTCCTTGCTCCTTGCAGGACTACCTAAAGCTAACCCATATGTGTAAGAGTGTCATCCAGATGCTCCTTGAACTCTTGACAGGCTTGGTGTCATGACCAGTTCCCTGGGGAGTCTGTTCCAGTCACCAGTAATGAAATGAAGATGACAATGACATGAAGAAAAACAAACCTTTCCAAATTACTCGGTATAACATATACATTAGTATAGATATACTGAGTATACATCATCTAAACATGATAGCTGTTCAAAACAGGAGGAGAGTTACGAATGCTCTAACTTCATGCAGTAACAGTAGGAATGAATCTGAAGGTCTAATGCATCTTCTAAATTACTAAGAACTCAAGTGGTTAACACAAGGTAATCTCAGACTCATACCACGGAGTTTCTGTAATGTGTTTTAAAGTAAAGAACATGGCAAGGAAAATGTACGCTTAGTCTACTTGCTGTAAGTAGGAGTATTTAGCACTTCTGCTGATGTCTCATAGCCTAATTATTAGTTATTTCACCTTTTAAAAACAATTAAGTAGATTTTAGAAAGAGAGGCTGTTGTACAGGGGTTTCTCTTACAATTTTCAGTAGTGATCAAATCCATTCTTCCTCCTAGCACCATAAAAATTGATGGTAAATCGAGACTAATCTCAGCCAAAGAAAACTCCTGACACGCTTCCTAATTGTGAGCAAGGAAAGGCTAATAATAGTGGAGGCTCATCAAACAATGATACAGCATCCTCCAGAGGAGAAGGAAAGTGAAATAGAGGAAAATGGGAAGATGGTCAAGGAAGGATAAAGATTCAGCTGTTGAAATCCTTTGCATGCTGAATGAAGTAAGCTGTTGTTTACTGAACAGTTTTGTCCTCTGGCTGAATTCCACAGTCTTTAGGAGGGTGAGTAAAATGGGCATTTCCTTATAATGAACCTTGTAGAGAAGTCCTTGTAGAGAAGCTGGAGTTCTCTTTTTAAATGCAGTTTCAATCATTTCAGGAGTACTTTAACGGTGCTTTACCTTTCCTTGTAAAGAATGTATCAAGAGAAGAATTGCTGTTCGACAGAAGCTGGTTGAACTGGTGCTTTTCACAAAGTCTGTTGGTTCAGTGGATTTTATTATATAGTGTCAAGTTTTATGTTCCTGTTCACGTATTTGAAGAAGAGTTTGTACTTTTGATGTACCACTTGATATTTTTGTGTCAAGAAAAATGCCAAACAAAAAACCCCACCTGGATTTATCCACTTGTTTTGTTGCTAAGTTATTGATAGTTTTTTAAGGAAGGAGATGATTAAGGACGCAATTTTCCTGTCTTCCTCCAAGAGGGTAAGATTGCAGTTATCTATCCTAGCTTTGTATTTTCAAGCCACTGTTCCCTACTTAATGATTCTACTACAGGTAATTTTGTGGTAATTCTGAACTCCAGTCAGTAACAGTTAAAATATTTTGATTCAAAGCAACTTTGAAGTATTCTTTTTTTCTTACATATCACTCTACGTTATTTATTACATACTTCAATAATAGATGCATTTATTTTCTCCTCAGTTTACAAAAGACCAGTGCTTGAAATGGACATGAATACATTCTACTTGAACCATTTGCAAGTATGGTTTGGGTAGGAGTTCTATGGCTGCATAAACAATAAAATGTGTCCAAGTTAAGGGTACATATTTCAAAGCAGCATCCATTATCACTAGGCTAACGAAGTCAAAGTAGTCTTGCTCTATGACAAACATTATCCAGTAGACTAGGAACAGGCCTGTCAGCGCGGTCTTGTTCTGCTTATTTCTGCACTGCCTCAGTAGGCATCATTTGTCGATCTTTAGAGAGCTGTTCCTGCTTTTATTGCTTTTTCGGGGCTCTTAAGTCCATGCAGAATAGGTGCCAGTATTTGTCTCCAGAATTCAGAATTGTTGTTCCTGACAGTGTAGTTGAATAAGCTGATCCTGCTACTCTGAAATCACAGATGGTGTTCAAGTGGTTTTAAGAACCTATGATGCCTGTGTTAAACTGAATGATGTTAAGCTTTACTGTTGGGGAGTGAAACTGTATTTATTAATTAAATTTAACGCAGTCTTTTAGTAGATAGTAAGGTGCACAAGGCTTTATTCTTCTATCAACAGTAGATCCAGTCTGAAGCTGCACATTCCAATATTTTGTTTCTACTTTATTGCCCACAATTACCATCTCCATGGTTGAGCCTCCTCAGATGCTTCCATGGCTGTTCACTAAACTGCATCTGTGAAACGGTTAGATCCCTGGTCCTTCCGTAGCCCTTTAAAATAGGTGTATTCTTAGTATTGGGTGGAAGCAAGTAATCTGTGGTAAGACTGTGGGAGTGAACAGTGAGTCATGATGATGAGGGTGGGAGTAGATTAAAAGGGAGAGTACAACTAGTAACTCCTTCAGCTGCTGCTGACAAAATAATATATGACCATGCCTGAAAGGCAGTATAAAAATGCAAAGTCATTACTACAGTTTGTCTTGCACTTTGATATTCAGTGTTACTGGAAAACAAGTGCAGTGGCCATTCTAAATCCATCTTAAATCTTTTCTATGTTGTTTTGCAACAATTGTAGATACATTGCATTGGTATTTAACATCTGTGCAAGTACGTTTGTTTTTTTAACATTTTTGGTGCTTAGTCATATAAGGCTGCTGATTTTTAAGTTATGAGATCCTAGAAGATTGTGTCTGAAAATAAAGCAAGTTACTGCCTTTGTGTATTAATATAGTACTTGGTATTTGAATTGGGATAAACAAACTGGTCTGCCAGACTTGCAGGAAGTTACTACACGTATGTTGTGTTTAGATGCTACTTTTTTTTTTCTCTTGCTCATTTTTTTCAGACACACAATTGTCTGGAATCTTATCACTTGAAAGAGCATTTTTATGTGACTAAGCACCAAAATTGTTGAGCATACACGTTTTTCCAAAGGCTGAGTTGGAGAACAGAAAGTTCTTGTAATGTTAATTTAGTTAAAGCTTGTATATTGCCTACCCACATGCTTCTTTCGAAGGTGTCAACAAGTGCTGTGAATTGCAGTTAACTGCTAATGTGTGCTAGAGATCCAAAATTGCAAACCTAAAGAAAAACCAGAATAACTTACCTTTGCAGTGAAAATTCACAAAAATAAATGTTCTTAGACTCGTGTATAAATAGTGCTGGTGGACTACTAAAACCATTTTGGTGTTGATCGTGAATTCGCAGGTTGTTAGTAAAAAAGAGAATAACATTTTAGCTCGATATATTTGTCCCATATTCACTTCCTGCTCAGTCTGAAAAAGAAATTTCCTTTGCATCCTTTAACAATACCTTACGTTCATTACTTTTTTGTTTGATCTTTCCCCACATGCACACTTTGGCGGCTGTTTGGAAGGAGAGAAGTCCTGGAAATCTGTAGTCGTTAGTATGTCCAAGTTGTCGGCTTGTCAGTAGAAATGAATACAGAGCTATATCTCTAAAAAGCATAAAGTCAACAATTGACCTATTTGCCCTACAAGGTGGTTTTACAAATGTTAACCTCAGGGGATGCTAAGAAGAGACAGGTTGTCAACTTCTTGCAAGCTTAAAGCATACTTTTTTTTTTTTTAAATGATGAGCAAACAAGACTGCTTCTTCAAAATGATGAAGAAAAAATAATCGTATATTCACAAAAAGGGCTTGCTAAGAATTGTAACTCTGTGCATAAACCTTAGGGTAGTTATGTGAGTATTTTGACACCCTTCTTCAAATACGAAAGAGTAAGGTGTACTCGTTACAAGGACAACTGATCTTAAATAATTTTTGATCCATGGGGAAAAAAGAGCTTTTATAAAACTTTAAAAATTTTACATGGTGTAAGTTCAGACAGGACTTCTTTGCTATTTGTCAAATAGAAACATACAATCTTAGCATTGTTTTTAACAAGCTGACGACTAACTGAAGATATTCAAAGTTTAGAATTAAATTCAAGTTAGTGACATGTCTATAAAGACAGGTATCTTCTTTACACTGGTGCTCTTCTCCATCTGGAGATTAAGATTATAGTGTTATTACTGCAGCAGTATTAAAATTGGCTAGTTTATCCAGAAGCAACTATCCAAGAAACTGAACCATGGGAGTTGAGTTGTTTGTTTCTCAACCATTGTAAAACTCTTTAGACCTGTATGCTGAGAGTAATGCTGTCAGGGAGAGGAGCGGTAGCCAGGAGGCCACCTTTATTCTGTGATGGCCTATTGTGGCCATACCTTAAAATACTTGATAATTTATAGTCCCATGTGACTAATGTGAAAAATTGGAGGGAACTATAGAGATACTTATAAAAGCTAGTAAGTCATGAACTTTCTCTTTTTTTTTAACAATGAATTATAGAAAAATTCCAAGTTAAGACTCAGAGCACTGTCTCTAAAGACTACTTTGCTTTTTTGAAAACGCATTCT